AAAAGTCAGTTTTCATCAGAATAGTCACAATTGAGATAAATGCATAGGGAGATAGCGCGTCATTTGCTCTTTCATAAACAATAAAAAGTTTTCCTCAATACCTTGCTTTTCTCAAAAAATTTTTCAAGTTTTCCGAGACCTCTATTCGAAAAGCCAGCGGTTTTTTGAAAAATCACAAAATCTTTTTCGTTTTTTCTCATTTGTTCACTATCTCAAACGCACATCCGAAACTTCTCTGTCCAGATCCGTCCAATATATTTAAATTTTTTTTTTTGATTGAAAGAACATGTAAAGATGCGGGGGCATGACAAGGTCCGATTTTTTGAATTAGATCTTTTTTCGTTATATATATAGGCATTTATATAAATTGACAGCACTTTTTCGAGAGTCTTCTCAGTCATCAAACTTTCGATTCCTTTTTTGCGCTCGAAAAGTGGGTATTTAAAAAATCGAGCCTCGTCATGCCCTGCATCTTGACATGCTCTTTCAAACAAAGAAAATTTATATATATTGGACGAATCTGGACCGAGAAATTTGGGACGTCAAATCACCTATTTTTCACTCTTGTTTGGTCAATATCTCCCTTAAAACTCATGATTTCTGGCTGAAAATTTTGTCATAGCTTTCCCACTTCAGGCCCAACATATCATCCAATTTTCAGGCCATTTGAACCTTCCTGGGCTGAGATCAATCTTTCAGAGGGACCTTAAGTTCTTCATAATCTGTGAAAAAAAATTTTCATCAAAACAACTATCGTGGTGGTAATAATTCTTAAACTACTGACAATCACATCAATTAGACGTATGATTACATACAACGCATCATGTTTGTCAATCAACAATATATGTTCATCCTTTTGATTTCTCACAAAAGTAAACATAACGATTGATCGGAGTATAATACCTATTATTAACAAGATTATACCAAATAATTCCCATCATGACATTGTGATAATAATAACATAATATATCACTATTCTATTGACAGAAATAAAAATTAGCAAATAGCAGTTTACATATCGATTTTATGCTGCTTATAAGTATAATATTATCATATCACACATTGCAATACTAACTGTATTTGTTTAGAGTTATGCTTCGATGGCAACAATGCATAAGCGCATACACCTGATTTAGATTTATGGCATAATAATACTGTCCTGCGGAGATGAGTCTTTTCCGTTCCGTTTTCCGCAGAGACCGTGGACGGAAACAATATTTAAAAATGAGCATTTTTAAAAATTGGTTTGTTTTATGGGTATACTACAAACTTGGTCTTTCAAACAAAAAAATGTCAAGTCAATGCAATGTTAATATCGTTGATAAATAGATTTCGACATTCTGTCTAGGACTCTTTCATCGCGTCTTAATTAAAAGAAAAATAATAAAGATTAGACAAACTTATTCATTAACTTCTAATTTAATTATCATCTTCAAAAGTACTATTATTCAGATTATCTAGCAATATACCATAATTATTATATTCTCCTCTTGAATGTTTTCACTTTTTCATCAATGTTTTCGATGCGCCAGTATTGTTTTTCTCTTTTCAACTGTTTAAGTGGTGAAGTAAAGAATTGTTTTAACTTGAAGTTGATAAATCTCGACGTATAAATAATAATTGATCTATTTTAATAAAATGTGCCTCTAATGATAATTTTATTTTTAAAATAATGCTATCGCATGCAGCACAAAGTGTGACGTTCATAGAAACCATAGTCTGATAGCGAGAGTTTTTCCTCAAACACAAAAGGTGAGATCGTAATAAAAACTTTGAAGGCATAATAGCAACAGAAACGGCGGACGAGAATAAAATAACTTTTCACAGGAAGCAGGAATGGAAATTAAGAAAAGTCATTCTGGCAGAAGACAATAACAGTCAAGAATAATGCATAAAAATTTTTTGTGATTTAAAAAATTTCAGCATTTTTTTTAATGATTAACCAATTTTAATTTAATACTATTCATAATAATGAAAATTTCTTTTTTTATGTTCTATCTAAAATATAACGGTTATCTTTTGATATATGCATAGGATTAAGCAAAAATTCTGTGAATATTAAATAAAAATATAAAAATAAAAATATATTTTAATTTCATTTTATTAAAGGTGCAAGATAGGTGCCATGATTGCGTATACAAGTTCGTTTATTTTCACCAATTACAAGATATTTCATTAGTTTCGATCTCGTTTTGATTTTATTGATACCTCTAAAGTGTCTAAAGGTAGAGTGACACTAAAGCTACATATTTGAACA